TTGTTATCCCTCTATTATGATATTTGTTAGGTGGTTTGTTATCCCTCTATTATGATACTTGTTAGGTGGTTTGTTATCCCTCTATTATGATATTTTTTATGATATTTGTAATCCATTACAGTATGATATTTGTGACACTGTTAAGTACCTCTATTAACTTTTTGGCAGCCTCCATCGCATCGTCTAGTGTTTGCTTCAGGATCACCTCAAACACACTGGCAATGACCCTCTTCATGACGTCGGAGCTATTGTGATAAATAAAGACACATTATCTGACTGGTACTATACAATCATCAAGTACTGTTTGATTCACACCATTTATGCAACACTGAATGTTTTTGTCATAGGAATGTTTCATAAGAAGACTTTTCAAAAGTTAGAGTGTTCTAACTATTGTATACCAGGATACTTTTGCTGCACATTAATTTTCCCATTTTTCGCCCTACGTAATGAGGGTGAATTATCATTACAGCGAATATGAGTCAACATTATAATAAACATAGTTATTGAATGTGAAGGGTGTAATTAACACTGGGCGAAAATTGGTATTATTGGTATTATGGGCAAAGAGTGAAAGTTTGAATGGGCAAAATTTCCGAGAAAACAGTAGTAGGAAATGATTGATGTCTGGTGGATGCAATGCTAACCACAGTGTTATTTACAGCTAATTTAAGTGTATATGCTCAGCTCAAGGGCTCAGCTCATCCCTCCAGTTTTGCACAAACCATAATCCTTTTTATAATTCATATATTTATCTGGTAGCTTTCCAAACAAAAACAAACAAAAACGTTTTGTGGTTCCAGTAATTTGTGTAGAACATCTCAAATCCTTCATATCAATTAAAACAAGAGGTCAGACAGGCCTGTTCTGTTCACCTGTCATTGAATAGTGCTGACAGACACATTTCACCTCTGTAACCTTCAATGTGGGTAAGATCAATGCTTGGGGTTTTTTTCATGCATGTCAAGGATTGATTTGGGCAAGTGAGATTTGGTTTCAACTTGCCAGACAGGCCCGTCCTTTTAAAAGTTAATGTGGAGCCCTGTATTGTCTCATTTTTTTTTGTCAATGATGAAGAACCTGGGTGTCAAGATAAGTTGTTTACCACATAAACGACTATAAAAAACATCTCCACAACAAACCTGATGTTTATAGTAACAAGGCTAGTGTCCAACTTACTTGACAGCAGTGGGAAGATACTGGAAGAATGGCTCCAGGAATGCCAGCACCTGTTCAACACTCAACTGTAATAAAGAATATATAACACCTATAATTGTCAGTTTCAGTCTCATGATAATTTTAACTGAGTCCAGCTTTCAGGTATTAATACTGGACCTGTGAATGATTTAATTTTTATTTACTTGTTCACTTACATTTTCTGAGTCACCATTTTATATGACAGTAGAACAAATTGGCATTATTTACCTGTTCAGCCAAGACAGTGTACAGTCCGGACAGTGTACAGTCAGGACAGTGTACAGTCAGGACAGTGTACAGTCCGGACAGGTAAATAAATTACATGTGTGACTTTACTGTTCAGCCCTAGATCGTTTAGCTAGGACAGGTAGATATGAGACTTGTGAACAAATTCACTAAATACACAAGTTCAGTCTGATATTCTACATCTGATAAGCAGACATGGAAGAAGGTGAATTATTGTATCTAAACTTACCTGTTCAGCACCAACTATCTCTAGCTCTGACAGGTAAATGTCTGCCAGGTGAATCCGCAAGCCCTGAGGTATCTGTTCATTATCTGGACTCATCACACTGGAACTCAAAATGTTGGTAAACTCTGTCAGAACATTCCTCTGCCATTTCTTGTTTTTGAGGAAGAGGAGCGTTTGATGTAACATTCTTCTGACCAACTGAAAAGACAATTATAGACATCGCTAATTATTGTAGTGTAGGACTGTCGTTAGTGTTGGACTGTCGTTAGTGTAGGACTGTCGCTAGTGTAGGACTGTCACTAGTGTAGGACTGTCGTTAATGTAGGACTGTCATTAGTGTAGGAATGTCATTAGTGTAGGACTGTCGCTAGTGTAGGACTGTCGTTAGTGTAGGACTGTTGTTAGTGTAGGACTGTCGTTAGTGTCGGACTGTAGTTAGTGTAGGACTGTCATTAGTGTAGGACTGTGGTTAGTGTAGGACTGTCATAAGTGTAGGACTGTCATTAGTCTAGGACTGTCGCTAGTCTAGGACTGTCGCTAGTCTAGGACTGTCGCTAGTGTAGGACTGTCACTAGTGTAGGACTGTCGCTAGTGTAGGACTGTCATTAGTGTAGGACTGTGGTTAGTGTAGGACTGTCATAAGTGTAGGACTGTCAATAGTCTAGGACTGTCGCTAGTCTAGGACTGTCATTGGTGTAGGACTGTCATTAGTGTAGGACTGTCGTTAGTGTAGGACTGTCTTTAGTGTAGGACTGTCATTAAAGTAGGACTGTCGCTAGTCTAGGACTGTCGCTAGTGTAGGACTGTCGTTAGTGTAGGACTGTCGTTAGTGTAGGACTGTTATAAGTGTAGGACTGTCATTAGTGTAGGACTGTTGTTAGTGTAGGACTGTCATTAGTGTAGGACTGTCATTAAAGTAGGACTGTTGTTAGTGTAGGACTGTCATTAAAGTAGGACTGTCATTAGTGTAGGACTTTCGTTAGTGTAGGACTGTCATTGGTGTAGGACTGTCATTAGTGTAGGACTGTCATTAGTGTAGAACTGTTGGTAGTGAAGTACTGTCTGAGTATAGGACTGTCATTAGTGTAGGACTGTCGTTAGTGTAGGACTGTTGTTAGTCTAGGACTGTCATTAGTGTAGGACTGTCGTTAGTGTAGGACTGTTGTTAGGGTAGGACTGTCATTAGTGTAGGACTGTCATTAAAGTAGGAGTGTTGTTAGTGTAGGACTGTCATTAAAGTATGACTGTCATTAGTGTAGGACTGTCATTATTGTAGGACTGTCGTTAGTGTAGGACTGTCGTTAGTGTAGGACTGTTGTTAGTGTAGGACTGTCATTAGTGTAGGACTGTGATTAGTGTAGGACTGTCATTAGTGTAGGACTGTCATTAGTGTAGGACTGTCGTTAGTGTAGGACTGTCATTAGTGTAGGACTGTCATTAGTGTAGGACTGTCATTAGTGTAGGACTGTCATTAGTGTAGGACTGTCATTAGTGTAGGACTGTCATTAGTGTAGGACTGTCATTAGTGTAGGACTGTCATTAGTGTAGGACTGTCATTAGTGTAGGACTGTCATTAGTGTAGGACTGTCATTAGTGTAGGACTGTCATTAGTGTAGGACTGTCATTAGTGTAGGACTGTCATTAGTGTAGAACTGTTGGTAGTGAAGGATTGTTTGAGTATAGGACTGTCATTAGTGTAGGACTGTCGTTAGTGTAGGACTGTTGTTAGAGTAGGACTGTCATTAGTGTAGGACTGTCATTAGTGTAGGACTGTCATTCGTGTAAGACTGTCTTTAGTGTAGGACTGTCGTAAGTGTAGGACTGTTGTTAGTGTAGGACTGTTATAAGTGTAGGACTGTCATAAGTGTAGGACTGTCATTAGTGTAGGACTGTCGTTAGTGTAGGACTGTCATTAGTGTAGGACTGTTGTTAGTGTAGGACTGTCATTAGTGTAGGACTGTCGTTAGTGTAGGACTGTCGTTAGTGTAGGACTGTTACTAGTATAGGACTGTTGTTAGTGTAGGACTTGATAGTGTAGGACTGTTGCTAGTATAGGACTGTTGTTAGTGTAGGACTTGATAGTGTAGGACTGTCATTAGTGTAGGACTGTCACTAGTGTAGGACTGTCATTAGTGTAGGACTGTCATTAGTGTAGGACTGTCGTTAGTGTAGGACTGTCGTTAGTGTAAGACTGTCGTTAGTGTAGGACTGTCATTAGTGTAAGACTGTCGTTAGTGTAGGACTGTCATTAGTGTAGGACTGTCGTTAGTGTAGGACTGTCGTTAGTGTAGGACTGTTACTAGTATAGGACTGTTGTTAGTGTAGGACTTGATAGTGTAGGACTGTTGCTAGTATAGGACTGTTGTTAGTGTAGGACTTGATAGTGTAGGACTGTCATTAGTGTAGGACTGTCATTAGTGTAGGACTGTCGTTAGGGTAGGACTGTCGTTAGTGTAAGACTGTCTTTAGTGTAGGACTGTCTTTAGTGTAGGACTGTCGTTAGTGTAGGACTGTCGTTAGTGTAAGACTGTCGTTAGTGTAGGACTGTCGTGAGTGTAAGACTGTCGTTAGTGTAGGACTGTCATTAGTGTAGGACTGCCGTTAGTGTAGGACTTGATAGTGTAGGACTGTCCCTAGTGTAGGACTGTCATAAGTGTAGGACTGTCGTTAGTGTAGGACTGTCGTTAGTGTAGGACTGACTTAAATATCACACACCCTTTATTGTGACCGGGTGATGGTTGGCTGTATCACTAAGGATAGACCAGATGATGCGGACCCGTACTTACAGTCATAAACTTGTCAACACGCCACTTGTCAAGCACATCCCATTCCCGGGCCTCCGTTTGGAAGAAGACCTTGACGAACAGTAATGAACATTCCACAGTGCCAAACACATGCACCATCTGTGTGATCCGTTCAGTTAGCTCCTCCTGTGCAAACAAAAACAAAATACAGGATATAATATTGATATGTTTGAGAATGGGCCCCTGAACTTCTAGAGAATAAAGGTATACAAATCAGTCTGCCTCTATGATCCAGTCCAGAGAACAGACATGATCCAGTTCAGAGAACAGACATGATCCAGTCCAGAGAACAGCAAGCACAGCATCACTATTGGTAGTACAACTCCCCAAGTCTGTTAGAGAGCAAAGATATAGCAGCTCGCATTTTGTCAGCAGTCTTTGAACATTGTTAAGTATCATTATCACAATTTTCTGCTTTTGAATTACAGGGACTAGGACTGTTCCAAATTGAATGGGCCCCTAACATTTGACAAAAGTACAGAAAAACAACATCTCTCTCTAAATCTCAAGAGGACATTCTAAAATGTAGGTGGCCTACATGTAGTTTTAACATAACTAAGTACATTATAATACTATATATGTGTACAGGCAAGATGTAACTAAGTACATTATAATATTATATATGTGTACAGGCAAGATGTAACTAAGTACATTGTAATACTATATGTGTACAGGCAAGATGTAACTAAGTACATTATAATACTATATATGTGTACAGGAAAGATGTAACTAAGTACATTGTAATATTATATATGTGTACAGGAAATATGTAACTAATTACATTGTAATACTATATATGTACAGGAAATATGTAACTAATTACATTGTAATATTATATATGTGTACAGGAAAGATGTAACTAAGTACATTGTAATACTATATGTGTACAGGAAAGATGTAACTAAGTACATTGTAATATTATATATGTACAGGAAAGATGTAACTAAGTACATTGTAATACTATATATGTACAGGCAAGAAAATCTTGCCAATATCCTTGTTTTCTAGCTCAATAACAAAAGACAAATAAAGTTAAATACCCATTACATAGTTACTAGAACTGTTGAATTATATTAACACCATCTGATAATGATTGGTTTCATTTTATGTTCAAATGATGTGATTTCATCTGGTGAATAAAATAGTACAAAAGAAATATCTTGGTTTCTGGCCCTGATTCTGATGTGTTGTTTGATAGCCGTAGGAACAATACAGACTAATCCATGTAATGATGGATACACACTACTGAGTAGACTATCAATAGATTTGTCTCAGTAAAAGGATGTTTGATAATCATATTCTATTTCTGGATTATTTTTATCTCAGTAAAAGGATGTTTGATAATCATATTCTATTTCTGGATTATTTTTATCTCAGTAAAAGGATGTTTGATAATCATATTCTATTTCTGGATTATTTTTATCTCAGTAAAAGGATGTTTGATAATCATATTCTATTTCTGGATTATTTTTATCTCAGTAAAAGGATGTTTGATAATCATATTCTATTTCTGGATTATTTTTATCTCAGTAAAAGGATGTTTGATAATCATATTCTATTTCTGGATTATTTTTATCTCAGTAAAAGGATGTTTGATAATCATATTCTATTTCTGGATTATTTTTACCCACCAGCAATAGTTCAATAACATTTTCAAATTTTCAAATTTAAAAAAAAAAAGTGTCTCTTAAAAAATGACTGTTTTCTGTAGAATTAAGGTCTGGAAAATTCAAAGTAACTTTCAGACACTGCCAATGATCATGATGAGGTGAGCTGGGAAACATACCATGGACAAGAGACTATATTTGCCTGTTAGAATTTATCTTACTAAAGTGACCTTCACCTTTATACTGTAAAAATACAAATTTGTTTTTAAAGATCTAAGTCACATTAAAACCGTTGTTTGATCTTTGATTTGATCTTTGATTTAAATCTCATTTAAAACTGAAGTTTCCAAAGTGATGACAATGTTTGCATACAAGATATTTGCATCTACACTCAGTCTGACGACTCTGGTCTTTTGACCTATGACCTTGAACTTGCTGTTTCTTCACTTGTCATGGCCTATCATTGTGCTTGTGTCCACAGGATTGAAACCTGGACAGCTGAATTAACTTTAGGGCTGGAACGGGTAACCAAGTACCCGGTTGTGGTTCAGATATAAGTAATATCTGCTTAGAAAATCTACATATCCAATAAACATCCCAAAATATTGGTCAATATTTATCTATTTTTTTCCGGTCAGAAATGTCTATCCTGTTGTTGGACAGACCTCAACATTGAGTATATGTATACAATCAACAAGTATGTACACACAACATTAAGTGACAATGGAACTGATCCTTCACAGCAGGCGTCGCCTGATTTCTGACTACATATGCACAACGTGTGAATGTGGCATACACATAGATATCCGAGAGAAACCAAACGGCTCAATTAAACAGGAAGTGATGCGCAGAAATATGTGCACATAGTGTTAACAACACATGATTGTAATGTGAAACTAGTGAGTTTCCCAGTCAGGAGGTTAGTAATAAGAAACCAGATACAACTATATTAACAAGGCTCAAGTATTGAGCAATGTTTGTTTATGAATTAAGTGAATTCAGTAATCATATTTTCGTCAACACAAAGGGCAATTGGTGCCTGTAGTTTCAAATGGCACAAATAAACATGGTTACACAGTTTGGGCTTTGATTATTTCTAACTGTTGCAGACCTAGACAAACTTTCGCTTAATTACATACTTGATCACCTGCCTACTAATCTGTAGTAGTGGTTTGTCCTGGTATCCCTGACCCAGCTTACCTGTAGTAGTGGTTTGTCCTGGTATCCCTGATCCAGCTTACCTGTAGTAGTGGTTGGTATCCCTGACCCAGCTTACCTGTATTAGTGGTTGGTATCCCTGATCCAGCTTACCTGTAGTAGTGGTTTGTCCTGGTATCACTGATCCAGCTTACCTGTAGTAGTGGTTGGTATCCCTGATCCAGCTTACCTGTAGTAGTGGTTGGTATCCCTGTCCCAGCTTACCTGTATTAGTGGTTGGTATCCCTGACCCAGCTTACCTGTATTATTGGTTGGTATCCCTGATCCAGCTTACCTGCAGTAGTGGTTTGTCCTGGTATCACTGATCTAGCTTACCTGTAGTAGTGGTTGGTATCCCGGATCCAGCTTCCCTGTAGTAGTGGTTTGTCCTGGTATCACTAATCCAGCTTACCTGTAGTAGTGGTTGGTAACCCTGATCCAGCTTACCTGTAGTAGTGGTACGTATCCCTGATCCAGCTTACCTGTAGTAGTTGTTGGTATCCCTGATCCAGCTTACCTGAAGTAGTGGTTGGTATCCCTGATCCAGCTTCCCTATAGTAGTGGTTGGTATCCCTGATCCAGCTAACCTGTAGTAGTGGTTAGCATCCCTGATCCAGCTTACCTGTAGTAATGGTTCGTATCCCTGATCCAGTTTACCTGTAGTAGTGGTTGGTATCCCTGACCCCGCTTACCTGTATTAGTGGTTGGTATCCCTGATCAACTTACCTGTAGTAGTGGTTTGTCCTGGTATCCCTGACCCAGCTTACCTGTATTAGTGGTCGGTATCCCTGATCCAGCTTACCTGTAGTAGTAGTTTGTCCTGGTATCACTGATCCAGCTTATCTGTAGTAGTGGTTGGTATCCCTGACCCAGCTTAACTGTAGTAGTGGTTGGTATCCCTGATCCAGTTTACCTGTAGCAGTGGTTTGTATCCCTGATCCAGCTTACCTGTATTAGTGGTTGGTATCCCTGATCTAGCTTACCTGTAGTAGTGGTTGGTATCCCGGATCCAGCTTCCCTGTAGTAGTGGTTTGTCCTGGTATCCCTGATCCCGTTTACCTGTAGCAGTGGTTGGTATCCCTGATCCAGCTTCCCTGTAGTAGTGGTTTGTCCTGGTATCCCTGACCCAGCTTACCTGTATTAGTGGTTGGTTTCCCTGATCCAGCTTACCTGTAGTAGTGGCTTGTCCTGGTATCACTGATCCAGCTTACCTGAAGTAGTGGTTGGTATCCCTTATCCAGCTTATCTCCAGTAGTGGTTGGTATCCCTGACCCAGCTTACCTGTATTAGTGGTTGGTGTCCCTGATCCAGCTTACCTGTAGGAGTGGTTGGTATCCCTGATCCAGCTTACCTTTAGTAGTGGTTGGTATCCCTGATCCAGCTTCCCTATAGTAGTGGTTGGTATCCCTGATCCAGCTAACCTGTAGTAGTGGTTGGCATCTCTGATCCAGCTTACCTGTAGTAATGGTTGGTCTCCCTGATCCAGCTTACCTGAAGTAGTGGTTGGTATCCCTGATCCAGCTTATCTACAGTAGTGGTTGGTATCCCTGACCCAGCTTAACTGTAGTAGTGGTTGGTATCCCTGATCCAGATTACCTGTAGCAGTGGTTGGTATCCCTGATCCAGCTTTCCTGTAGTAGTGGTTGGTATCCCTGACCCCGCTTACCTGTATTAGTGGTTGGTATCCCTGATCCAGATTACCTGTAGTAGTGGTTTGTCCTGGTATCCCTGATCCAGTTTACCTGTAGCAGTGGTTTGTATCCCTGATCCAGCTTACCTGTATTAGTGGTTGGTATCCCTGATCCAGATTACCTGTAGCAGTGGTTGGTATCCCTGATCCAACTTACCTGTAGTAGTGGTTGGTATCCCTGTCCCAGCTTACCTGTATTAGTGGTTGGTATCCCTGATCCAACTTACCTGTAGTAGTGGTTGGTATCCCTGTCCCAGCTTACCTGTATTAGTGGTTGGTATCCCTGATCCATCTTACCTGTAGTAGTGGTTTGTCCTGGTATCCCTGATCCCGTTTACCTGTAGCAGTGGTTGGTATCCCTGATCCAGCTTCCCTATAGTAGTGGTTGGTATCCCTGATCCAGCTAACCTGTAGTAGTGGTTAGCATCCCTGATCCAGCTTACCTGTAGTAATGGTTGGTCTCCCTGATCCAGCTTACCTGAAGTAGTGGTTGGTATCCCTTATCCAGCTTATCTCCAGTAGTGGTTGGTATCCCTGACCCAGCTTACCTGTAGTAGGGGTTGGTATCCCTGATCCAGCTTACCTGTAGTTGTGGTTTGTCCTGGTATCACTGATCCAGCTTCCCTGTAGTAGTGGTTGGTATCCCTGATCCAGCTAACCTGTAGTAGTGGTTGGCATCCCTGATCCAGCTGACCTGTAGTAGTGGTTGGTATCCCTGATCCAGTTTACCTGTAGCAGTGGTTGGTATCCCTGATCCAGCTTACCTATAGAAGTGGTTGGTATCCCTGATCCAGCTTACCTATAGAAGTGGTTGGTATCCCTGATCCAGCTTACCTGTAGTAGTGGTTTGTCCTGCATCCACAAACAATAGTGGAGACCTTTCCAAATCTTCACAAAGTCACACTCACTGAAGGCATCTAAAAAAATAGAAAATAGAACATGAATCTCACTTCATAGCTAGGACAGCATGTCAAACACTTTAAAACCTATATTCCTTCTTCAGCTTAGTAAATCTGACTGCATATAAATTAAGCGTATACGCAGTGAAAAAGTTCAACGGTCTGATACTTGTTTCAAATATTGTGCCGTTCATGGTTCAGATAGTTTAGTCTGATGGCAGCCATTGTTTTGTTCCTTCAACATCTGGAAACATGGCACATATTCAGGATCAATATGTCTAATGACACACAACAGAGGGATGCTGAAAAACTTCTTATTCATAGAACTTTATTTTCCTAGCGACTTGGGCTACAGTATACGTAGTCACCATCGTAGCGACCTGCTTTGACTGTTGTTTTTCTTGTATAGTATTTAAACACTTTTTGAAAGTAAATATAAGGATCATGTGACCTTCATTTTGACTGCATATATGGTATTATGAAAGCTACACCAGCGAATCATAATTACTTCCGGTTAATTTGTTCAAATGTTAACAATATGAACATGTGCTACGCAGTGAGTTATTTCATAAATTAAGGAAACAGGTTGGATTTATATATTTATTAGGTCAGAGGCCTTTGCCGGCGGACAAGTGATTTTTTACAGTTACTAGTCCGTCGGACGAGTAAATTTTGAAGGAAATATCAGTTTTAGTAACTTTACTTATCGTTTTTTCTGTGTGATAATAAATGCCAAGCCCCTTCGACGCATTCTCGTTATTTGTTTTCACTTTTGACAAGATTGGTGAATACCGAGTCTAACTCTAATTTACGCTTGTTAAGCCCCGCCAATGCCATGCCTGGCTCCTAAGAAGCAAGCGTTTAATTGATAACGTTACAAACTGATCCATAACGTCCGAGTGTTCCGATGATACTGTACTTGTTATAATGGATAAAAAATGAGGCTATCCAAATGATTCAGAAGATGGCTCTGACGACTGAATGTCAATGTGTTGAAATGACTAATTATTTGTGTTTATGCGTTACTTAAGACTAATTATTTTGTGTTGAACTGTTCACATGTTATTATGGACTATTAAAACAAAACAAACAAATATTAACAGGTTTTGTGACTTTTAATTGTATGCCATACATTACCACACAATAATACATGTTAATTGTTTATATAATAGATACAATTCATTAACATATTATTTAAACAACATGTTAGTATAAAATTTTCGGACAAGTGAATTTTCCATCCGGACGAGTACTTTTTACCAGCCCACTTGCCCGACGGACGAGTGCTTTTAAAAGTTTTTCCCGGCCCCTGTAGGTTAATTAATCAAATCAAAATAACTCTGATATTTCGAGAACTTTTCAGCATTATAATTAGGAAAACAACTTGATCGCAGAAAAAGGTTAACTGGTACACATGTTTTTGTTGTCAACAAGTTGAATTGCCAAGTAGCGTCCATAATGTATCGATGTTGGGACATGACATCTAGTCAAGTGAGTGAGAAATGAATCAACTGAAATGTAGGTATAAATATTATCTCTGACAAACTTGTTATACTCCTACAATTGCTGTTGCCAGATTTCGGTGACAATCCGTGTTTTATAGCTGACCATAAACAGGCGCCCGATCAGAGTTTTGAATCCTACAATTATGGTCAGTTTTAGCGGACTACGTTCATGCTACTGTATAAGCTGTCAAAATGAAGATAAATTCGGGGGATCCTTACATACCTACATAAATACAGAACACATCAGCTAGGTCAGCATCAGGAAATGTACTCCAACAGTGTTAGAGGTTTACATGGCGAGATACTTTTGACAGGTGCCACGTAACCTCTAACTGACAATAGCTTATCTTCCCCGATGCTGACGATCAAACTCAAAGTTCAGATTTAGAAAAAATATAGAGTGTTTAAATACATTTAAATATTCAAAGGGGTCCAAAAAATATTCCTTTCCATAATTCCATTATTAAATGAGAAGAATTTCGTGTCAAAGTCATAAATAATGAGTTTTTCCTCTTCCGAAGTGAAGCAGACAGCATTGGCTGTGATTTTCCGGTTAATACAAAAATTGATTACATGCAATGTTCTACAATTTGAATACAAACAAACTTCTTATCATTTCGTTCCCTGCTATTTTGTACATATCAACCCAGAAAGCCATGTTGTAAATAAAAGTAGGTCAGAGAAGTGCTACAACAACATGAATATGTATTTTGTGTGTTCTATTCCGTAATGTATTATTAGTTATCTCTGGGTTAGAAAGGGTCTTTGGGCTCAAAGACCCAGTCCGGTCTTTACAGACCCTTCGCCGTAGACCCCTCCTAACCCAGAGATAACAAATTGGTCACCCTGACAATCTTTTTTAGGATGCATGGGAAATCATCTTGTAAAATTTTAAAACATACTCCATTTACTTTCATCAATATTGTGCAAAAGAAAAAAAATGGACGGACAGACGGGGCCCTAATAATCCATGGATCTTTGACAATAACACAACAGAAGTGTATTATAATTTAATAAATTAATAAATAAATTAATACTTAAATAGTAAATGAGTAAATGTACAAGTTCATCATTTTGTAACTAATGGATATGGGAACTGCTTGTTCTGTGAACAACACAAAAACATTAGGAACTTGGGTGTTTTCTTATTTTCATTGTTTTGTAATATTTCTGTTTAGTGCTCCAAATGAACAGTTCATAAACAAAGAGGCTGCAAATCTTTGGGCACACGTGTTTTGGGTATTGTTAATTTGAGATTTAAATGGTTCAAATTCCCCAATAATCTCATCAAGATTGACACCATGCAGATGAGCAGGAAGAGCAGAGTCTGACTTTATTTGCATGTTGTGTGTCTGAAGTGGCCATGGGAGTACGCACATTTCTGGAGCAATGCGGCATATGGAAAAGCACAAGATGATATTTGATTTGTCGGAGAATATAATCTTGTTGAGGGTGCTATTAGTTGGCCTTGGTTCGAATCCATCATTACTGCAAACATAGTATCTCCCATCTTTAGTTTTTCTTCATCAGACATCCTTTGATATATATACAGCCAGAGATGAAACATATACAGCCAGAGATGAAACATATATACAGCCATATATGAATGTCGTCCAATCAGCTTATTGGCAAATTAAACCATGTGTTGCTTTCTTCTTCAAATGAACCCAGTAGGTGTTGCCATAATTGGTCACATCTAGCATTCAGCTTGGACAGGTACTTTTCAAAACTTGCTACAGGACAATACCTAAAATCTGTTTTTTCCATCTTAAATCCTGACACATTCTCTTTGTCTGTTCTATGAGTTTTTGTTAATTCATCCACACTTTGAACAACATATTTTAGGCATGTTTTGGAATCTTTCTCCACTTGAAAAGTTGATTTAGTCATTTTATCCATATTCTCTGCCTACAGAAGTATAGCCGAATAACAAATTGCACCTTGTTCAATAATCCATTAGGTGTGTCTGAATTCATGTGGAGCTTGCTCCTGTCCTCTCTATTAATTACGGAATAATATTTGATGCTTGCTTTTCCTGAAACATAATCACAAAAGAATTTTGGTAAAAGGAAGGGTGTCTATAAGGCCCCTTTTTGGGCCCCGGTATATTCGGATTTTCACCTCCTTATTTTGTTCAAAGATGTCCTTTTGTATGACATGCGGAAAAACTAAGGTAAAATTTTGACCAAAAATGGGTTTCTGGGGCTACCAAAAGGGATATGGTAAATCACAAATATAGTTCGCTGTTTTCAAAATGAGCTTAAAAACCAAAATAATACCATTTCTGTTTTTGAAAACATGGATAAATTAGACAAGCATATGTAACGGAATGAAAAGATTGTTTATATAAAACGAAGGATTATGTCAGGGGGGTCTTTTCAGTCATTTTCAATTGAAAAGTAATTTATTTTCTCAATAATTTCCTTTCTAATTAATATTTTGATTTGAAATTTACAACTCCACTCACTTAAGTAGACTTACATAAATTGCATATTGACTACATACTTTTCTTTGGTTTTATACACATATTTTTTCACATATCTCTCAATTTTATGTGAATTAAAAGGTGCATGACACCCTTTATATGCTATAAGTATAAGATATCAATTGTTAGTATTGTATATTATATATATAACATAATATTTGCTTTACTGTAGCAAACACACACACAGTTGCTATACTGTAAAGTTATTAGGATACGGTTGGCCAATATTTTAAATACACCATAATTTTCATAAAATAATTGATCTGATGTCATATTCATAAATTATGTCATTTAGGACCACTGCAGTAGGTAGTTGTACAAGCTTCCACAAAGAAACAAGAAATAAGAGTATTTCGCAAAAATAGTCAAAACTTAATGTAGTATTAAAAACTGGCCAAATCTTCCATACAAACAGCTTACAGTAATTTTCATTGTTTGCTTGATAACCAAAATACTCTGTAGTGAAGCCGACATAAAACCAATCAATCAAGCAATTTTCTCAATTTCACTGATAAATAGAACGTTACAGTACCATACTAAATATCTTGCAGATAACGACCATCTGATGACAACAATGTGTTTAAGCTGATGTGTCACTGTTAACCGGTAGGCCTATAAATATTCTTACCTTGAATTTTCAACTCCCGCATTGCTGTTTTGAAACTCTCATTAGCATTTTCAAAGGCTGTGTCCTTTATGATGTCAAATTTGGGTGAAAAAGGCAGAGATTTCAAATATCTGTTAATTCCATGTCGCAGACACTCAAGCGTTGTCGATTTATAGTACTCCCCTTCCTTGGAACAGACATCCACATAAAAGCGACTGAGGAGCTCATCCAGTCGTTCTTTGGGAAAGAACTGAAAATCCACCGACTTTCTTTTCCTTTAAATGATCCTGAAGACCCCTAGCAGCCCCTTTGAGCTGGCGGTCGTTCTAGATTATTTCCATGCTATAACTTCCTCTGAATGAGTGGCAAATCTTGAACGCTTGTTGTTGGACGCCATCTTTGTTGTCATGAAGACAGATTC